CGGCTCCGAGGGCACCGTCGCTTGTTGCAGTGAATTTTTTCCGCTGCTGCCAGCCCAGCGTTGCAGCCCTGCTCCGATTAACCCTCCCTCTTCCCCGTGCCAAAATATCCACTGGGATTGCAGCGGTTTTGCATAATCACGGCTCCCCAAAGCTGCTCGTGGGAGCAGGACCCTCCTGTTCCGGGAAAGCTGGAGGGAGCCGAGCGCTGCTGCTCCGGCCGAAGTTTCCCTGGGCCGTGAAGGGACCTGTGATGAAGTGCTCGGAGAAGCAGTGGAAGCAGCTCCTGACGGATACTGCTCTGACCCGGCTTGGACGTTTTCCCGTTGGCTGCGGGAGCGCCGGGGCTGGATCGGCGTCGCCTCCTCGCAGGGCGCGGGGGGCTCCGGTCGGCCTTGTTGATTCGGCCGCGATGAATAATAGAAGAGAGGAGGGTTTCGTCATCCGCGGCCTCCCGAGGGCAGCGCTCACGATAACTCCGGAGCTGCCGCGTCCTGGCAGACGGCCCTGCGCTCCCTGGCCCCACGGCACAGCCAGGGCTCAGGTCCCTCCTCCTCCTGCCCCTCGGCCACAATGGGGCTTTTTGCTGCCCCAATTTTTCCCCCTTTCCTGTTAATTTGGTTGCTCTGTGGGGATCTCCCCTTGCCACCTTGTGCAAGGGGTGGGTTCCTCCAGGCAGCGGGTGCTGGTGGGTGACTGGGGTGGTTCCTCTGTGCCCTTGTAGCCCTGCAAATACATCCTGGCGACATTGATGCTCCCTCTTTCCCCATCCCGTTTTTCCTCGCTCCGCAGGGAGGAGTTCTGTGAAATCTTCCGGGCCAAGGAGAAGACGTCGGGGAAGCTCTACACCTGCAAGAAGTTCCTGAAGCGGGACGGGCGCAAGGTGCGCAAGGCGGCCAAGAACGAGATCATCATCTTGAAAATGTGAGTGGCGGAAACGGCGCCTGGGGGCAGTCCTGGCGCAGGGAGGGTGCCCGGGCACCGTGCCCCGTCCACCCACCGCGTCTCTCCGGTGGCCCAGGGTGAAGCACCCCAACATCCTGCAGCTGGTGGACGTCTACATCACCCGCAAGGAGTACTTCATCTTCCTGGAGCTGTAAGTGCAGGCAGCACGGGGCGATGAGGACATTGCCGCGTGGCTCTTGCCAACCCGCCCTCCCCGTGCCGGCAGGGCCACGGGCCGCGAGGTCTTCGACTGGATCTTGGATCAGGGCTACTACTCGGAGAGGGACACCAGCAACGTCATCCGGCAGGTGCTGGAGGCCGTCGCCTACCTGCACTCGCTCAAGATCGTGCACAGGAATCTCAAGGTGGGCCAGTGGACGGGATGGGAGCGCGGGGGTGCTGGCACCCATGGGTGCCGCCACGCCGCCCAGCCCCGCGCTCACTGCTCGCACGGCCAGCAGCTCGAGAACCTTGTGTACTACAACCGCCTGAAGAACTCCAAGATCGTCATCAGTGACTTCCACCTGGCCAAGCTGGAGAATGGCCTCATCAAGGAGCCCTGCGGCACCCCGGAGTACCTGGGTGAGGACGAG